CCTGCGAATGCAGTCACCACTGGTTTCCCCGTAGTGGAAAGCCTTGTTTTTCCCAGAAGCATACTGTAGAATTTTATGTTTACATTTCCAATCGCTAGGCAAGTCACCTAAGTGAGCTTACCTCCCACTTGGTGTCCCCTAATGAACTCTGATACGTTTCAAAGTTTTGATACTTGAAGTCGATCGCTTTACGAGTTCTCTTGATGCATCTTCTTCGATATTTATGGTCCGCCCTAGGCAACTATCATTAAGCTAGCTAGTTTCATTAATTAGGAATGTGAACTGACTGACCTTCTCTCGATGTCCACCGTGCCAGGCTCTCCCCAGAATACCTCCGTAATGGAATAAACCCATCCACTTTTGTCACCGTAGTTATTATGCGTATCCGGTACCCATTTACCTTCGTATTTCCACCCTGTAATTGAAAACGTAGAACGTTTTGTTGGTCATCAGACGAAACTTCAAGACACAATGGCAAATAACTACTCTTCTCTGGGAAGGGTTGAATTTACCTTTTCCTGGCTCGCTTAGTCGTGACGTTTTGATTTCGCCACCATAGTAATCTGTAAACTTCAACGGTCGCCATCTGAAATTTACCAGAAAATTCCAGAGAAAATCTTTTTTCCTCGATTTTTTCTCATTCCATACGATTTTAGAAAAAACAAAAGTTGATGCTGTACTGTGATGACGGTCTTTAAGTATTGTAATTACTCAATTATTTCATTATTTTCACCTCCACTAGTAAAATGCATGAGTAACAAATAACCCAGCCCCTGGTGCTGGCATTCTGGGGTATGCCATTACTCATACTAACGCAGTGGGTAATGGCGTACTGCTTTTGGAGATTGACATACTCGTAGTAAGTGACTGAATCTGACAAACCGTCAAGTCAGTACAGTAAAGAAGCTTCGACAGCTAGTAACCGAACTAATTGACCATGGTGCTCTCATTCTCTCGGGAGTAGAGTAGAAAGCCGGAACTTCAAACGACGGGTATGTCAACTTTCCTCGTGGAACCGACTTATATGCTAGGGAATGAATGACGAGGAGGAAGCGGACGGATCTCAC